GGGGGCAGTGTTATCCTGTTTCACTGGAGATCCAAAGCCAGACCTCCAGATACAAACACCAAAAGCAAAAAGATCCAGAGCCAGACTGCTTGGGCTCAAGTCTGGGCTCTACTGTGACTTGGGCAAGTTAATGTCCCTCTCTGTGCTTCAGTGTCTTCAAATATAATGAGGACAACAATGCTGCATACCTCAGGACTGTCCTGAGGGCTGATTAAAAACGGCTTAGAGCTGTATCTGGTGCACAATTAATGCTCAATAAATGTGGCCATTATTACTGCCTGTCCCAGAAAGGCTGCTGAAGCATGTGGCCTTTCAAGATACTTAATCCTGCGATGACTTAATTTAAGAGTGTGCCTTGGAACTTAGAAGAAAGAATTTTAATATTTGTGCTCATTAATCACGTCTTTTCCCCATAAGATCTGTGCATACAGGAAGCAATTCTTTCCGAGAGTGATGGGGGCACCTGAGAGTACAAAGAGGTAGAGAATGAGAGTAACTTCAGTTAATGTCTCAAAATAGTGTCCTGCTACAAACAGTGATCTCTTCTCACAGGATAAGGGACTCACACCATTGAGCCCTGCTGAGTCCTCAAATCTCCTCTCCAGCTGATTACCTCCTCCTACCCTCAGCCACCCTGGCCTTGATCCTAATAGATTATCTTTTCTTGTCCTTGCACCTTTGGCAGAGATCAGTACCTACATTTATGTGAATCTATTTTCTGTCCTTTCTATACTGTTCCATTGACCTACTGTCTTTCATCCATACTGCAACATCTGGATTGCTGTAGTTTTATATTGTCTGGCTGGACAGGGCCAGTCCTCCAACTTTGTTCTACTCCTTCAATATTGTATTGGCAGGTGTTTTGTCTTTCCTTATACATTTTAGAATTAGTTTTTTGGTATCCACAAAATAGCTTTCTGAGATTTTTATTTAGATTGCATACAATATACAATCTATAAATCAAGTCGAGAAGAACTAACATTCTCTCAATATTGACTTTTCCTACCTTACAAGAAACACCCAATCAGCACCAGGGAGCCTGGAATAACTTTGTGCCTTCCACTCACAGGGACCAGGATCTACCAGAAACCAGGCCCCACCTGAAAGGTAGCCACCTCCTTTCGCCTGTTATGCAAAACACGTTCCTGAGAAACATGGTGCTAAACTATTCCTAGAGGACTTGCTTCTGGGTCCCTTGCTGTAATTTATGAAAGTCAGTCACTGAGAGGACAAACAAGAGTGCATCTGTCTGTCCATGCATCCTCTGTCTTCCCTTGGGGGCTCAAGAGTATGTGCTCTAGAAGGACCCACTGAAACTGCAGCATAATGGTGTGAAAAACACCTGGATAAGAGAGACATGGCTATCTTAGTAGAGCATGTTATGGGCTCTGTGTTACATATGATTATGGCATGGAGATTGTATCTTAAAAGGAAGGTGTTAGGGGTCAGAGGTACATACTTAAATCATTATGGATTAAGTAATACAGTGTTGGGATTTCTTAACAATACTATAGCAAATTCACGGTAGGGATATAGATGAAAAAGAATTGGTTTAGTATTTACAACTTTCGGAAGTGAGACACCAAAAAGTTATCATATCTTTATTCTACTTTGTCATCTATTGGAAATTTCCACATAAAATATCATCAATGAAATTTGTTATTAACTATTTAAAAAGAAAAACATCATTTAAAAATGAACTCAGTGGGCGGTGCCTGTGGCTCAAAAGGGTAGGGCACCGGCCCCATATGCTGGAGGTGGTGAGTTCAAACACAGCCCTGGCCGAAATAAATAAATAAATAAATAAATACTCAATGACACTATAATAGAAAGGAAGTGTCTTAGCTTATATACATTAAACATCCATAAATACAATGCTTAACAGTGAAATATTGAGAACATTCTATTATAAACAAGAAACAAACTATTCCAACTATTGTTACTTTTCTTTAACATCATAATGTGGGACCTACCCAAGTATGTAATAAAAGCCAGAAGAGTGGCCGGGTGTGGTGGCTCATGCCTATAATCATAGCACTCTCAGGGCTGAGGTGGGTGGATTGCCCTGAGTTCAAAGGTTTGAGATCAGCCTGAGCCAGCAAGAAACCCCATCTCTACCAAAAAAATAGCCGGGCATTGTGGCAGGTGACTGTAGTCCCAGCTACTTGGGAGGCAGAGGCAAGAGAATCGCTTAAGACCAAGGGTTGGAAGTTGCTGTGAGCTATGATGCTACAGCACTCTACCAAAGGCCATAAAGTGAGACTCTGTCTCAATAAAAAATAAATAAATAAATAAATAAAAGAAAACAAATTTTAAAAAATCTTCAAACTAAGACAATTGAAAGCAAAATTTTAAAAAAAGCAGAAGAGTATTAAAAATTGAAAACAATGATATAAAACTATCACAATCAATAGATGAGAACAGGTTGTACTATGACAGAAATATGAAAGAATCTATACAAACAACTTTCTAGAATTTTTAAGTATGTACCCAATTTTTTCATTCCAAATCAGTATACAAAGACTAATGGCATTTTTATGCAACAAGAACAAATTGAAAGAAAAAGAAATATATAGAAAGGCTTTGTTTACAATAGAATAAAATGCATCACATATTGATAATACATACCAGTATTTAATGTCTTTGAGTGAAAAATCAATGAAGCTGTGTACAAACACATATAAGAAGACTCAAATGGCTAATTCCTGAATTAGAAACTCATATTGTCAACATGTAATTCTCAGTAAGAACCTACACAGAGGGAAAGACATGAGCAAGATGGCAGAGTAGGTGATCCCAGCCTCTCTACAAATTTCGCTGTTAATCATGAAAGAAAATAACTCTGGAAGAGCTTAGGAGTCCACTAAAGAAGGTACATCAGCACTGTGGGAGAGAAAAACAAGAATAGCCACACAAAAAGGGGAGAAAGAAGCTTCATTTCGGTGGTATCACCCCATCACCAGGTCAGCCCTGCTCAGCACCCAGAGGGAATTCCCAGGTTCACAAGTGCCCATTGCAGGGTAAAGAAGAGTCAGGTGAACAACTAGCATCCCCTTCTTTCTGGGCACTACTGGATTGACTAGCTTCAAGTTCATCCCACTCAGACCAATATCATTAATGAATATTGATGCAAAAAATATCCAATAAGATCTTAGCAAACAGAATTCAACAACACATCAAAAAAATTATGCACCATGATCAAGGTTTTATTCCAGGGTTACAGGGTTGGTTCAACATACACAAATCTATAAATATAATACATCACATCAATAAAATAAAAAACAAAGACCATATGATTCTCTCAATCGACACCGAAAAAGCCTTTGATAATATCCAGCATCCTTTCATGATCAGAATTCTTAAGAAAATAGGCATAGAGAAAAAAAAAATTGCTATGGGCAGTGCCTGTGGCTCAAAGGAGTAGGACGCCGGCCCCATAAGCCAGAGGTGGTAGGTTCAAAGCCAGCGCCAGCCAAAAACTGCAAAAAAAGTAAATAGGCATAGAAGGGACATTTCTTAAACTGATAGAAGCCATCTACAGCAAACACACAGCCACTATCATATTGAATAATGTAAAATTGAAAACATTTCCGCTCAGATCAGGAATGAGGCAAGGATGCCCACTGTCTCCACTGCTATTCAACATAGTAATGGAAGTCTTAGCCATCACGATCAGGCAAGAGAAGGTGATCAAGGGTATCCAAATAGGGTCAGAGGAGATCAAACTCTCTCTCTTCGCTGACGATATGATCCTATACCTGGAAAATCCCAGAGACTCAACTTCAAAACTCTTAGAAGTGATCAAGAATACAGCAGCATCTCAGGATACAAAATCAATACTTACAAGTCAGTAGCTTTTATATACACCAACAATAGTCAAGCTGAAAAAGCAATCAAAGACTCTATTCCTTTTACCATACTGCCAAAGAAGATGAAATA